TTGGTTGTCTTATGAATACAAATTACCCGTAACCTATAAATGACCTAAATAATAACAACAACAATAACAATACTAATACAAAATATTTCCTCCAATACAGTGTTTGATTTCAGGTGTTCAAGTACAGTCAACACAAACAGCATACAAACACCTTCCTGAAATCCTATAACCCACACCTACCTACCTGACGTTTGCAACACTGTAATAAATGCTATACGTAATATATACATTTATTTTTACAAAGACCAAAAATAATGATTGTAATTTAAAGAAAAAAATACACAGGCAAAAACATAGAATAAATATGGGGTTAGGAATAAATAAGATAATAATTTTGTAGAAATTGTGGAGGTGATATAATTTTATGTCCATATTATTTGTTGGTATGTAAAAAATAGGAGTTGAATAATAATGAAATGAAGTTATCCAGTGAGCGAAACAATGTGGTAAGAACACACAAGACTAAAAGGAATGAGTAAAGGAACAATAGTAAATAAACCAAAAAACAGGGAAATGGAGAGAGGGGAGCAATAATGAAGAGGAGAGAAAATGAGAATTTGAGGGAAGGAACTGAGGAGGGAGAGAGGTGAAAGAGGAGAGAGGAGAAAAGAGGAGAGAGAGAGAGAGAGAAGAGAGAGTGTGTGTGTGTGTGTGTGTGTGTGTGTGTGTGTGTGTGTGCCTATCTACCTGTTTGTCCTTGTACTATATATTTGTCTATCTGTCTGCCTGTCTGTCTGTCTGTCTATCCATCTGTCTGTGTCGCCACTTTGTCCATCAATCTGTCTGCCCTCTATCTCTCTAACTACCTGTCAATAACCCCTCATATTACCTCCCAGCGGAAATAATCAAAACACACTTTCATCCTCTGCTTCCGTCCATTACCACACACACACACCCACCCCACACACACACACACACACACACACACACACACACACACACACACACACACACACACACACACACACACACACACACCCCACCCCACACACACACACACACACACACACACACACACACACACACACACACACACACACACACACACACACACACACACACACACACACACACACACACAGCTAGTTGGATCCCATACCCTCTAGGGGGACATAAACATTGATAGTAAGAGCATTTAATTCCCTTAACGAGCCACAATCACCAGTACTTGAGATACAACACAATGCAATGCTCTAAGGCGGTGTTCATAGGATCGGAAACTCCTCTCTCTCTCTCTCTCTCTCTCTCAGGGTAAACAGGTTGTTATGGGCGGAGCAAGATGGTGAATTATATTATTATTATTATTATTTTATTTCATTACCCACATACAACCGGCCAGAAGCCTTTATCCTCTGAGTATATTTCCCCACTAATGAAGGTGTGGTATTCATGGCTAGCAATAAGGGTATTTGGAGGAGGAGGAGGTGAGGGGGAGGTAGGGAGAGTGGGGGGGAGGTAGAGTTAGAGGAGGGGAGAGAAGGTACAGGTAGAAACAATAGTGGCACAACAGGTGGGATAGTATTCGATCCTAACACCTGCCGTCCCCCCCTCTCACACCTGTATTGTTGCTACCTGGTGATCATCTCAATTTCATAACTCTCCCACATTGAGAGGAGACAATATACATAATTTGTTGTTGTATTTTGTATAGTATTTGTTTTGTTTGTTTGTATGTGGTAAAAATGTCTTTGTTACGTGTGTGTGTGTGTGTGTGTGTTTATGTGTGTGTGTGTGTGTGTGTGTGTGTGTAATATCTATACATATGCTGGTTTGTATAACTGCATTGTCTATTTATCTATCTACAAGTACATACCGCCAGTACTGACCTGACGAAGGAGGAGTGGCAGTGAGGAACAAGGGTCACTCCTGTTGTCTGGAAACTGAAATGAAAACAATAATGATGAGTAATTAAGAGATTATGAATAGTAATGATTATGTCATCGTCAATAATAATAATAATAATAATAATAATAATAATAATAATAATAATAATAATAACAACAAAAATAAAAATAAAAATAACCCTCTCACCCATCTTCCCTCCTCCTCTCGTCTCTCTCTCACTCTCTCCTCTCTCTCTCAGTCTCTCCCTCCAGTCTCTCAGTCTCTCTCTCAGTCCTCCAGTCTCTCTCTCTCTCTCTCTCTCAGTCTCCTCAGTCTCTCTCTCTCTCTCTCTCCTCAGTCTCTCTCTCTCTCTCTCTCTCTCTCCTCTCTCTCTCTCAGCTCTCTCTCTCCCACTCCTCCTCCTCTCTCTCTCTCTCTCTCTCAGCCCTCTCTCGTCTCTCTCTCTCCTCTCTCTCAGTCTCTCTCAGCCTCTCTCTCTCTCAGCTCTCTCTCTCTCTCCTCCTCCCCTCCTCTCCTCCTCTCTCTCCCCCTTCTCTCTCTCTCTCCTCAGTCTCTCTCAGTCTCTCTCTCTTCCCCATCTCCAAATATTCTCTCAGGAGATGAAGAGGAAACAAAGGGTAGGTCAAACTATCCCCGTCACCATTTTTCTCTCTTGTGCTCGGGAGACATCAAAGAGACGATCGATTTTCAAGTGGATGTTTTTATTCCGTAGGTAGTGGTGGGGGTCCATCTAATTAAAGTCTTTTGTCAGGGGTACCTTGGAGTTGTCTGTCTGTCTGTTAGTCGGTTTGTCTTTCTCTGTTTGTTCTGTCTGTGTGTCTGTCTGTGTTTCTGTCTGTCTGTGTTTGTGTCTGTTTGTCTGTCTCTTATTGTTCGTCTGTCTGTATTTCTGTCTGTCTGTCTCTCCATCTGCCTGTATTTGTGCTTGTCTGTCTGTTTCTGTTGTCTAGGTTCTGTCAAGTCTGTCTGTGTGTCTTTCTGTTTCTCTGTCTATCAGCGTTGTTGTTTAAAGCTCTTACCGTTTGTTTTATGTCTGTCTGTCAGTTGGTAGGGCAGCATAGAATAGGTGGATTAGGTTAGGTTAGGTTAGGTATAGGTTTGTTAGGTTAGGTTAGGTTAGGTTAGGTTAGGTTAGGTTAGGTAAGGTTAGGTTAGGTTAGGTTAGGTTAGGTTGGGTTAGGTATAGGTTTGGTTAGGTTAGGTTAGGTTAGGTTAGGTAAAGGTTAGGTTAGGTTAGGTTAGGTTAGATTAGGTTAGGTAAAGGTTAGGTTAGGTTAGGTAAAGGTTAGGCTAGGCTAGGTTAGGTAAAGGTTTGGTTAGGTTAGTTAGCCTAGGTTAGGTTAGGTCGTTCATCTTTAAACCGTACTCTCACTCTATGACCTTCTGGTAATGACAGACAGACAGACAGACAGACAGACAGACAGACACCCTCCACATAGATTCGTATTTATAAATTTCGAAAAATACTAAACACTACACTGTACATATATATTTACCTCTATGATGACTTTCTTGAGGTGTACGTGGTGGTGTACGTGGTGTAGGTGTACGTGGTGGTGTACATGGTGTTGTCCGTGGTGTAGGTGTACATGGAGGTGTCCGTGGTGTAGGTGTACGGTGGTGTCGTGGTTATATGTGGTGTCCGTGGTGTAGGTGTACGTGGTGGTGTAGTGTACGTGGTGGTGTCCGTGGTGTAGGTGTACGTGGGGTGTCCGTGGTGTAGGTGTACGTGGTGGTGTCCGTGGTGTAGGTGTACGTGGTGGTGTACGTGGTGGTGTCCGTGGTGTAGGTGTACGTGGTGGTGTCCGTGGTGGTGTACGTGGTGGTGTCCGTGGTGTAGGTGTACGTGGTGGTGTCCGTGGTGTAGGTGTACGTGGTGGTGTCCGTGGTGTGGTGTACGTGGTGGTGTCCGTGGTGTAGGTGTACGTGGTGGTGTCCGTGGTGTAGGTGTACGTGGTGGTGTCCGTGGTGTAGGTGTACGTGGTGGTGTCCGTGGTGTAGGTGTACGTGGTGGTTTCCGTGGTGTGGGTGTACGTGGTGGTGTCCGTGGTGTAGGTGTACGTGGTGGTGTCCGTGGTGTAGGTGTACGTGTTGGTGTCCGTGGTGTAGGTGTACGTGGTGGTGTCCGTGGTGTAGGTGTACGTGGTGGTGTCCGTGGTGTAGGTGTACGTGGAGTGTCCGTGGGTAGGTGTACGTGGTGGTGTCCGTGGTGTAGGTGTACGTGGTGGTGTCCGTGGTGTAGGTGTACGTGGTGGTGTACGTGGTGGTGTCCGTGGTGTAGGTGTACGTGGTGGTGTCCGTGGTGTGGTGTACGTGGTGGTGTCCGTGGTGGGTGTACGTGGTGGTGTCCGTGGTGTAGGTGTGCGTGGTGGTGTCCGTGGTGTGGGTGTACGTGGTGGTGTCCGTGGTGTAGGTGTACGTGGTAGTGTCCATGGTGTAGGTGTACGTGGAGGTGTCCGTGGTATAGGTGTACGTGGTGGTGTCCGTGGTGTAGGTGTACGTGGTGGTGTCTGTCCAGGGCCAACACACGGAGTGTAGAGGAGGGAGGAGGAAGGGAGGGAAGAGGGGGGAGAGCAAGAAGGGGATGGGAGAAAGGAGGGGGGAGGAGGAGAGTAGGAGAAGGGAATAGAGATGAAGGGAGGAAGTGGGAAAGGGAGGAAGAGAAGGGAAGAGAGGAAGGGGCAAAAGACAGCTCACACAAGGAAAGTTTTGATAGGATACGGTGGTTAGGGCGAGTTGTCGGGGGTGGGTGAGCTGAGGGAAAGAGGAGGTGAGGGGAAAGAGGGAGAGGAGGGGGAGGGAGGTGAGGAATTTATGGGAGGTAGGGGTGAGCGGAGGTGAGGTGGAGGGACAGGGAGCAGGGGAGGGAAGGGAGAGAGGAAGGGGAGTAGGGGGAGGAAGGGAGTAGAGGAGGAGGGAGTGGGGGAGGAGGAGGAAGGGGAGTAGAGAGGAGGGAAGGGGGAGGGAGGGGGAGGGGGAGGGAAGGGAGTAGAGGGAGGGGAGGAAGGGAGTAGAGGGGGAGGGAGGAGGAGGGGAGGGAGAGGGGGAGCAGGGAGGAAAATGTTGATTTGAGAATAAAACTCTAATTTATATTTGTTGAAGGCAGTAATTGTATGCAGGGATGGAAGAAATGGCGGCAGAGGGACCTTCCCCACATGGTCTCCTATCAGGTCTATGGTTTCTATCTAGTCTGAGGTCATCTATGTGGTCTCCTATCAGGTCTATGTGGTCTCCTATCAGGTCTATGTGGTTTCCTATCTCTAGTCTGGGGTCATCTATGTGGTCTCCTATCAGGTTTATGTGGTCTCCCATCAGGTCTATGTGGTCTCCAATCTGTTCTGTGGTCTCCCATCAGGTCTATGTGGTCTCCTATCTAGTCTATGTGGTCTCTTATCTGGTCTATGTGGTCTCCCTATCTGCTTTATGTGATCTCCTATCTGGTTTATGTGGTTTCCTATCAGGTCTATCTGGTTCCTAATAGGTCAATGTGGTCTCCGATCTAGTCTGTGGTCACCTATCTGGTCTCCAATCAGGTCTGTGGTCTTCTATCAGGTCTATGTGGTCTCCAATCTGTTCTGTGGCCTCCTATCTGATCTATGTGGTCTCCTATTTTGACACCTGAGCACATTTACCTGTAGTCACCTCACCTACTTAACCATTGCACACCTGAGGAATAACTAATCACTAACACCTAAATATCATGTTAAATTCCCACCTCATGAACTATTAAATACCTGAGAGATCATCACTAATTAACACTAATAAACGATACATAATTATCACGTTAAAGTAAAATTACTGTTGTTTAAAATAATAATGTGGACTAAAATAGGTGTTTTAGAATATGATAATAAGCTGGTTAGAATTTAAAAGTTTATGTTTTTTGTTTTGTTCATTTGTTTTTCAATGTTTCGTTGTATTTGGCGGTTTTAGTTGTTTCTGTACATTTCGGTTTTTTACTTGTTTTTCAGTACTTTCGTTGTTATTTATTTATCTAAATTTTTCACTTATCTATTTTCCATTTATCGTCGGTTTTCACTTCTTTCGTTGTTTTCAAATCTTTTCGTATTATTTTTTTCGGGAGGGTCATACAACATGGTCCAGCTGTTGCTCTTGTGTTTCAATACTGAAAGAGTCGCCGGAGCATTCACTTATTGTTGTTGTTCTTGACGCCGACGATCACTGATACAACACACCTGAGAGAGAGAGAGAGACATTCATTTTCTCACTCAATAGTCAAGAGTCGCAGTTTGTGTGTGTGTGTGTGTGTGTGTGTGTGTGTGTGTGTGTGTGTGTGTGTGTTTCCTGTGTGTATATTCCACACTTTGAGTCTCCGCATTCTACTCAGGCCCCATTACGCTCTCCACACCCCCAACCCCACCCCTACCCATCCCTCCACACTACCCACCACATCCCTCCACACACACACCACCACACACACACCCTACTACACCACGCCACCCCTCCACACACTCCTACATCCCCTCCCCCACCTCCCCACCCCCACCACCACACCCCCCCAAGAGAGGACAGTCAAAATGTGAGCAGCAAAGTAATGGTAAGACTGGTAGAGGCAAGCGGCGTCATTAATCACCATTACCACAAGGAGAAGATGAATCATTTAACCCAGTTGTCTTATTGGTGTTCCTTCCGTCACTGAGAGAGAGCCTCCTGGCGTTGGGTCCAAGATCACTGACCTCCCTTTGTGGTAATGGTCAGCTGCTGCCGTCTGTGATCTGTCCATTATCCCCCGTGTCTGACAGGCCGCGAGGAGGTCCTGTCATCCTGCACGTCTGGAGGTTCTCGACGATTTCTGGAGGTTCCTGGAGGTACTTTAACGGATTTTTGAGTTCTTAAATGGTTCTGGAGGCTCCTAAATGGTTTTGAGAGCTTCTAAGGGTTCTGGAAAGGCTCTAAGAGTTCTGGAGGCTTCTAAAGGGTTCTGAAGGCTCTTAAAGTTCTGAAGCTTCTAAGGGTTCTGGAGGCTTCTAAAGGGTTCTGAAGGCTCTTTAAGTTCTGAAATGCTCTTTAAGAGTTCTGAAAGCTCTTTAAGAGTTCTGGAGGCTTCTAAGGGTTCTGAAGGCTCTTTAAGAGTTCTGAAGGCTTCTAAAGGGTTCTGAAGGCTCTTTAGAGTTCTGAAGGCTCTTTAAATTCCTGAAGTCCCAAGGGATTATGAGAAGGGTCTCAAGAGCTTCTCAAGGTTCTTCCTCTCTCTCTTCCTCCCCCATCACCCCCTTCATTCTCTCCCCATTCACCCCCTCTCTATCTCTCTACTTCCTCCGCCAATTATGATTACAGGAGATAGACAGGACAGGAAGGAGAAGCACAATGAGAGAGATATTGATACAGAAAGCCCAGTGTCCTGTACAGAAAAAAATTGGGTGACCAAAAAGTGGGTGACATCCGAGCTGCCTCTCTCACTCTCACTATCTTTCTTTCCTCCCTTTAACTATCTCTCTATCTTTCTATATTAATTTCATTTTCTCACTATCTTTCCTTTCTATCTCACTTTATTTATATTTCTATCTTCCCTGTCTCTCTATCTTGCTTTCTCTCTTATCTTTCGTTTTCTCTCTTTTCTCGGCTGATGCATCATTTTAAATTGTATTCTTCTACGGAATAACTAGTCCAATCACCTCGTTTCATTACACTAACAACCAATTTGCAACCCCTTAAATGAAACTTGAAATTGGTGAGAGAATCCAATTAATTTTTATAATAACCTTATTTATTGTTATGATCAGTTTTATTATTCGTATTTTTTTATTTCTATTTACTTTTAATGTGTGTTGTGTTTGTGTGTGTGTGTGTGTGTGTGTGTGTGTGTGTGTGTGTGTGTGTGTGTGTGTGTGTGTATGTGTGTGTGTGTGTGTGTGTGTGTGTGTGTGTGTGTGTGTGTGTGTGTGTGTATGTGTGTGTGTGTGTGTGTGTGTGTGTGTGTGTGTGTGTGTGTGTGTGTGTGGGGGGGCACCAGACACAGGAGAACAAACACACTCGAGTTTCTGGCAACATTGCAACATCTTCCTGCAATTGAGTCTAACAGGGCCTTTACAACAACCCTTACACCCCGACAGTCCCCAGTTTGGTGTCTGTCTGTCTGTCTGTCTGTCTGTGTGTTTTATCTACTGTCTAACTATCTATCTATCTCTTTACTGTCTATCTATCTATTTCCTCACCAATCAAAGCTCCTTAGGGACGCGAATTATATCAGGAAATCCAACATAAGCACCCCCCCCTCCCTCCTCTCGTTCATCATATAAGGAGGATAACTCAACATAAGCACCCCCCTCCTCCTCCTCTCCCCCGTTCATCCATAAGGAGGACCAACTCAACATAAGCACCCCCCTCCCCTCCTCTCCCCTGTTCATCATAAGGAGGACCAACTCAACATAAGCACCCCCCCTCCTCCCTCTCTCCCCTGTTCATCATATAAGGAGGACCAACTCAACATAAGCACCCCTCCTCCCTCCTCTCCCCCGTTCATCATATAAGGAGGACCAACTCAACATAAGCACCCCCTCCCTCCCTCTCTCCCCGTTCATCATAGGAGGACCAACTCAACATAAGCACCCCCCTCCCTCCTCTCCCCGTTCATCATACTAGGAGGACCAACCAACATAAGCACCCCCCCACCTCCCTCCCCTCCTCTCCCCGTTCATCATATAAGGAGGACCAACTCAACATAGCTCCCCCCCCTCCTCCTCCTCTCCCCTGTTCATCATATAAGGAGGACCAACTCAACATAGCACCCCCCTCCTCCCTCCCTCTCCCCGTTCATCATATAAGGGGACCAACTCAACTAAGCTCCCCCCCTCCCTCCTCTCCCCCGTTCATCATATAAGGAGGACCAACTCAACATAAGCACCCTCCCTCCTCCCTCCTCTCCCGTTCATCATATAAGGAGGACCAACTCAACATAAGCACCCCCTCCCTCCCCTCCTCTCCCGTTCATCATATAAGGAGGACCAACTCAACATAAGCACCCCCCTCCTCCTCCCCTCCCTGTTCATCATATAAGGAGGACCAACTCCAACTAATCACCCCCCTCCTCCCTCCCTCCTCCCCCTGTTCATCATACTAGGAGTGACCAACTCAACATAAGCACCCCCCCCTCCTCCTCCTCTCCCTGTTCATCATATAAGGAGGACCAACTCCATACTAGCTTCCCCCCTCCCCTCCTCTCCCCGTTCATCATACAAGGAGGACCAACTCCAACATAAGCACCCCCCTCCCTCCTCTCCCTGTTCATCACATAGGAGGACCAACTCAACATAAGCACCCCCTCCCTCCCTCCTCCCCGTTCATCATATAAGGAGGACCAACTCCACATACTTCCCCCTCCCTCCTCTCCCCGTTCATCCTATAAGGAGGACCAACTCAACAAAGCACCCCCTCCTCCCTCCTCTCCCCTGTTCATCATATAAGAGGACCAACTCACTAAGCACCCCCTCCCCTCCTCTCCCCGTTCATCATATAAGGAGGACCAACTCAACATAAGCACCCCCCTCCCTCCTCTCCCCTGTTCATCATATAAGGAGGACCAACTCAACATAAGCACCCCCTCCCTCCCTCCTCTCCCCGTTCATCATATAAGGAGGACCAACTCAACATAAGCACCCCCCTCCCTCCTCCTTCCCTGTTCATCATATAAGGAGGACCAACTCAACATAACACCCCTCCCTCCTCTCCCCGTTCATCATATAAGGAGGACCAACTCAACATAGCACCCCCTCCCTCCCTCCTCTCCCCGTTCATCATATAAGGGACCAACTCAACATAAGCACCCTCCTCCTCTCCCCGTTCATCATAGGAGGACCAACTCAACAAACACCCCCCTCCCTCCCAGCAGCCCGTAACTTCT